TTCTCCCTCATATAGTCTCGATTCAAATCAATCGAGCCCATATATTTTCTAGAAATCAATTGTCATATATTACATCCGATCCTAAATATAAGAGTTAATTGAGTAATTTGAGTATATTAAAAAAATAAGTTAAGTTAGTTATTTGTAATGAATAGGTGTTATCTTTCCTAAAATATCCTTGCTAATCAAATTTATTGGCTAGAACTACCATTATTAGAAGGATTATTTTGAGAAAAATAAATAAATATTAGAGAAAAAGTAAATTGAAATCTTATATTTAGAACCAAAATAAAAGTCAAATGAGGTCTTATATTAAGGACCAGAGGTAGTATTATGAAAATAAAAGAAAGGAAGGAATTTTATTTTAAATATTCAACGTTATATTGTCAAGTGTAAGAGTATATTCTCTTACAAGATTCTAATTAAAGATATGTGAAAAATAATGTGTGGCTAATGATTTGGTTATCATGTTATCTTGTTTTTTAAGGTTTGAATTCGCTGGGCTCATTTTGGCCCCAAAAAAAAAAATCGCAGTGCTCATAATAATATGTTTGAGAAGTTATGTGGGAATAAAACAATTTAGAGAGGAATGTCAATGTGCCCCTCAATCACAAATTTGAAATAAGCTTATTTAATTCCATTATTTTTTTAATTTGTTCCATGATAATGTTTCATCACCAAAAGCTGACGTATAAAGATTGGATCGTTGAACACATTTTTTGCTTTTTATTCCAAGTGATTGGCACATGGGAATTTCACATGCACCATCTAATTACAAATTAATTTACTCATCAATCGTTGTTGGTCTATAATCAATCAATGCATCAACAATATCATCAATATTCATTTCTATAATAAAAATAAGTTATAGATAATATACTTCTTTAACCATATTTATAAGGAAAAAATATTTATTTTATTTTATTTATAAGTCATATTATTAATGTTTTTACATGAATGTACAATTGTACCATTCCTTTATTATTCATACAAATAAGAAATTAAATAATTTTAGGCATATTAAATAAGGAGAAAATTTAAAATTATTAAATTTTAAAATAGATTTAATGATATTTAAGCTTTGTTTTACTTCTGGCAAAACATGATATGATCATAGGAATATAATTTATTTTTCAAATTATGTATTCCTCCAGTTCTAAATATAAAACCTATTTTATACTATAAATTACACTACAAAATGAGTCTTAAGACTAGATGAGTATATTAATGTACTTTAATGAAGGGCTATTATTTTAAGAATGTGTACGTTCCAGAGTCAATCTTTTTGATAAGTATAGAGTCATCTTAATCTAGATCATTTAAATATAAAATCTAAAAACATAAATTGAGGTAAGTATTTTATTTATCTAAGTCAAACAATCTCCTCCAAACTTTGCATGTTAGCCTTGCGATGTAAACATAACAGCAAATTAGTGAATTACCAATATACTACTATATATTAGTCCTTCGTAAGAAAATTCATAGCGTCGTCGGTCAAAGTTTGCAGCGGATGTCTAATGACGACATTATCCCTGTTGATCGTATTTAGTCATTTATTGATTCGGCAGGGCGCTTACTTTTAACAAACTAATACATGCTACTCCCTCGATCTCTTATTATAAGAAATTATTATCAAAATCATATGATTCAAAACATTAGTTAAATTTGATTAAAAATAATAAATAAGTAAGAGATATATTTCTAATTATACTCATATTTGTAATTAGAGTAATGAAAATTTATCACAAAGAAATAACAAGCGGCATATATTTGATGGGGTAAAAGTACAAAGACTAACTTAAAATTTCATTAAAAAAAATAATTTTTTAACTAGTTTAAAATTTCAGACAAAATTTTATTTTATTATATTTAGAGACTCCACTATAACGGAGATTGCTTTTTATTTAAAAAAAAAGGGCATAGGTATTGGTTACAATTGAAGGGTCATGATTGTTTAAGCACAAGGTTTTAAATTTGAATCCATTAAAAGACAAAAAATGTTTTTGTTAAAAAGATATTACATCCGTTTTTTATTATAGGAACTTGTTTGACTTTTAACTTAGTTGTAAATAAAACCCTAATCGACTTTGTTTTTTCATATTTGCTTATTTTTTTTCAAAACAATCCTTATAGTAGTTGCATATGTTAAATATTTCATCAAATGGTAATTCTAGCTAATATACATAATTAGCAAGGATATTTTAGAAAATACAACACCTATTTATAACAAATAACTAATTTAACTAACTTTCTTAATCTTTCCAAATTCGTTAATTAGATCTTATATTAAAAGCCAGAGGTAGTACTCTTGTTTTGATCCTCATAATACATACTTAAACCAAAGCTGATAATAATAAATGGTCACAAAAAAAAAAAAAAAAGGCGATGAGAAAGGCAGGCACGAGCAACCAACAATCTCGGATAATCAACATGTCTGGTTTTACCAACAAGTCATATGTTTGAGAAGCCGTCCAAAACATGGTTTTTTCTTGGACAACAATCTGTTGCTTCAGTGAATACCACGTTTATAGGGACCCAAAAGGGGTTCTAAACATGATGATAATTCATCTCATTAATTAATTTATCAATAGTTAATTGGTAATGCTTTTGGAGGATGTTTAGATAACTCAAAAGTGCTTTTTAAAAGTATTTTTTCACAATTCGAGACAAACTCTTCTACGTATTTATTTCATATATTGTGAAAACACTTTAAAATTATGGTTTTATTTTTACTCAAATACCCCGTTAATTCTAAAATACGATTAAAATGCTTATTTGAGGTTTAAGCCTTAAAAAAAAACTAGCTAATACGAAAGACGCCTATTTCTCTGGGATACCGGATGGAGTAATCCCAAAAAAAAAAAACTAGCTAATACGAAAATGAATATTTAATATGTTGTATAACTTAATTAAATATTCTTCAACTTTGAGATTCTGTGCATGTTCAAACTTCAAATCCTATGGCTATGATAATAAAATAAAAGTTGGCCAAACAAATCCTGCCTTATTAAAACATAAATAGGGACGTAAAACGTTGACTTATAATAATCTCGTAAGTCATGAGCTGAAATCTAAATTTGAATGAATCTAAAACGTTGACTTATATAATCTCATCATGTATTAACAATAGAATCAATGATTGTTAATTATTAATATCCGCTTTTACATTTTAAATAAGGCGTAATCCACCCAAGTGCGTTCAAAACTTACCAACTGGCAACTAATATCATATTCAATGATTTATGTCACTTTTATATGTTCGTTTTCATATTAAAGATTGAATGAAATCGAATTACATTTTGTAACGTGATTCTTCACTGTAAATGTGAAAACTTTTAATTTTTATTTTAATCCCTCATAATAAATTACAAATGATCCTCAGTGAATTTTTAGCCTCCTGACCAGGGATATCAAACTAGTGATGAGATGTAAACTTGGGTTATAAACTCAAATTGTAAACTTGTAAAAGTTTACTTTTATTAATAAATTAGTATTTAAAATATATAATTAAATAATTAAAATATAAAAATAACAATAATTTCATTTAAATATATTTTAAATTTAAACAATTAAAATTAAATCTATCAACATGTGTAACTTATCATATTCAAAGAAAATTCTATGAAATTCATATATACAATTACTAAATATAATTAAATCTAAAAATTTAACATGAGCTCAAGAGCGTGTTGATACAATTTTATAAGTTAAAAACGTAAAAACAGTAAACTCGGTGAGTAAACTTGTAAATTAAACCAAGTTTACAACTATGACAAGTTTAAGAGTGAGTCAACATAATTTTATAAGTTAAAACTGTAAAAACATTAAACTTGTAGAGTTTACTCATAAGTTTGACAACAATATGACACAAAAAGTCATAGACGGGATGTGTGTTTGGCTATTAACTTATTATGTAATGAAAAAAAATACAAATGATTAATCGATTATGCTGAATAAATGTAGATATCCCCGGTTTGATTAGGGTTATCAATATGATTAGTGTCATGCGAAAGTTTTGTAACTGAATTTTAATAGATGTCTTCTCACGCTTTATTCCATTCTTATATTAAATGTGCTCTTCTTAAGCGGTTAAATATAAAACTTTTATCAGGTCAAAAAAATAATATAAAACTTTTATTAAAAAAAATATTTTCAACTTATGTTGCAGTGTTTTTCAGTTTAAGTTGGGATTAATATTTATATATTCATTAAATGTATAGGATTACTTATGTATTATTTTAATAAGTAATCTTCCTGTTCTAAATATAAAATTTAAATAACTAATTTGATTCTTAATTTTCTTCCCCTCTCTTCTACTCGATTATTATTGATAAAATATCAATAATATTAATTTAAAAAGATTGATAAACATATAAAATATGTCTTATATATAGGATCAATATCAACTATTAAATTAGGTCTTAAATTAAGGATTGAAACAGCATTTGATATTTTACTTAATAATATATGGAAGAATATTTTGATGAAAACAAAGATAACTATGACTCCGGTTCTTATTATAAATTACTTATAAGTTATAACTAATTCTTATGTGTTAAGAAATATATTAAATTGATAAAAAAATTTTAAATTTATTATTATTTAAGTTATTTTTCCCTTTGCATTTATAAATGGTTTTTACCCCTCTTTCCTCTTTTTTCTTTTTCCATTAAAACTTAAATAAGGATAAAGTTAAAAAATTATCATTAACCAATTTACAAGTTTTTTTTCTTTTTCCAGCACTCTAAAATTGATTAGATTATCATTTTAATTAATTTATATTCTTAACAGAGTATTAATTTCCTTCCTTGACAGATCTTGCTCCCATCATGTCCAGATATATTTACCATTATCCCTATTCTATTAAACTCCGCCAATTACCTTTTGCCAAATGGTACGCTTTCCATGACACATTCTCTGCCCTGCATAGTGGACCCCACCTTGGCACCTTCTCTCTTAAAATCATCATCCGTCTCTTTCTTTTCTTTCGTTGCTCTTCATTCTTCTTCCTTCTCAATCCCTCTTCTGGAACATCTTCCTCCTCCTCCTCCTCCTCCGCAACACATTTCATTCCACAGCTTCATGGAAACTCAAAGCTTATCTCCTGGACCTTCTTCTCCAACTATTTCTCCAAGAAACCACAACTCTCACTGCTGCAAGTCACCTGAATTTGAGTTCTGGATGGTCCGAAACCCCTGCTTCCCTCAACCCAACATCCTTCCCGCCGATCAACTCATCGCCGACGGTGTCCTCCTTCCTCTCCACAACCTCTCTCTCGAACCTAAATCCCAAACTCCTGAATCAGATCCACCAGTTCCAGAAACGGCTCCTAAACCTGACCCGGAGACTGGACCAGAGTTGTCTCCTGCGATAACTGGGTCTTCTGCGACAACGGTGCTCTCCGTGTCGAAGAGGTGGAGGGATATATTTAAGAAGAGTGAGAAGAAGAACGCGGAAATGAGCAATCCAGAAGAGAAGGACAGAGAAAAAGGGAAGAAGAAAGAGAGGAAAAGTGGAGGCGGCGGCGGTACTTCGGCCGAGTTGAACATTAACATATGGCCGTTTTCCCGGAGCAGATCCGACGGGACTCGGCCGAGGTTATTCCCCGGAGCTCCGGTGACTCGGAGGGTCAACAGCGCGCCGTGCTCGCGTAGTAATTCGGCCGGAGAGTCCAAGTCCAGGAAATGGCCCAGCAGTCCGGGTCGGTCCGGAGTCCATTTAGGACGGAGCAGCCCGGTTTGGCAAGTCCCTCGCTCGAAGGTTCAAGACCCGAATACTGAAAAGGGATTAAAGAAAGCAACAACCACGACCCGTCGGAGTAAATTAACCTCCACTACCACGACCACCGCTGGTGGCGGCGGTGTGAAAACCAGGGTTTTGAGCTTGAATGTCCCCACATGCATCCGCTATAAGCAACATTTGGGTTGCAGAAGCGACGAGAACAGCACCATTTCCGCTGCCAGCGGCTCCACCAGCAGTAGTACCACTCATGCCGGGGGCAGAAACGGCGGAGCTAGAGGCGGCGCCGGTAACATAACCGGAAATAGCGGAAATCTGTTCAATTTTCGCAGCATTTTCAGCAAGAAAAGTGCAGTAACGTCTCATTAAGAAAATCTGTAACTACCCACATGATAAAATTAAAAAGGATTTTCATTTCTTTGTATCTAGGCTTTTTACTCTTTTTTTTTTGGGCCATTAACCCCCACCATTTTTGCCAGTTTCTGTCAGTCCAGTGAAAACAAAAATCAAAAATGGGTACGAGTTTATCCTTTTGAAGCTGTGGATGTATGAGAAAGTTTCTGACTTTGTGCAGGAAAGTGTTAGAAAAAGATTGATTAACGTCATATGGGGTTTGGAATATTTATGCTTTTGTGCTCTAGCTTGTGTGTTCTGAAATGCTTTCTTGTTTATTTATTAATTATTAATTATTATTCTGCATTCTGGACTTTCCCCATCTCTTCTTTCTGCAAGTGGCACTGATCTGACACTCCTCTGTTTTCTCTGTATTTGGTGTCATGTTCTGGGAAGCCATTTATTTATTTTTGCCAGGAGTAATTTTAACTGAGGTACGTGCAAATTTTGATTTTGTTTGCCACCACTTTTTTTAAGTGCTAATGAGTAATTTTAGGCTCCAGGTTAAAAAAAAGAAAAAAGAAGGTAATTATGGGGAGAGTTTGGCATCCCTCAAAAACATTTAAAAAATAATTTACATAAATTGAAACAATTTTTTTCTTACACACTTATTTTATATACTGTAAAATTATGTTTAGAAAGTTAATCTAAACACTTTAGATAAATTAAAATAAAATAAAATGTTTCTTATATATTTATCACACATTTTGTAAATTATTATTAAAACTAGTTGTGGATATTCTAAACAAACCCTTCGCTGTACATCTTCACTTGATCGGTTAATGCGCTTCATTATTTGTGTCATGTCACCTGGGTAGGAGCATATTGCAATTGAGGTATTTTTTGGTCTGTTGTTAAACAAGCTTTTTGTTTATAATAATTTTTTTAAATGTAATGAGGTAAAAGAGAAGTTTTATCGTATTACTGTGACTCTACCTAATGAGTGTTTAAATTAACTGATTTTAAGTGATTTTGTACATTACCGGATAAATTTTATTTCTTATGCAAAAAGATGTAATAAATATTTTTTGCCCATTGTTCATTTCCTACCTTGCATAACGATGAAGCTGATATAATAAATATTGCATATTTATTTATATACTAAGCATATGAAGCATTACTTTTACAAATAAGGAACAGATATATTCATTCCGAATCTCGTACCTAAGGTTTCATTTTTATTCTCCTATGCCTAGATTCTTTCATGGATAGATTGAATTTTCTTGGTTCCTTGAGTTTCTTCAAGCAATATGGGTCTACAAAAACGTAAGCAAATCATACGAATAAATTTTATTATTTGTTTCAGATAAACTTTTAAAATAAAAGTGTACAATTTAATAAATATTATGATTTTTTTAATTGTACTGTATGTGTTATTTAATATGGTCAGGCGATGATCTGGCCTGAAAAGTGATGAAGGGCCGAAAGTAGCTTCTTAATACTGAACCCATGTTCCAATGTTTGATGTTTCAATGCACAAACCAAATTTTCTTGATTAGTGCAAAACAACCTCAAGTTTGGATCAATACATGTTTGACTTTGACCATACACTCTCAACTTTCAAATACCTTCAATCCAAGGCACCATAATGTATGTGAATTCAGATCCCCCAAAGCTATTCATGATCCTATATAGTTAGCAAACAAGCGTTGGTGCTTATAAACTGTTTAAAATTGAAGAAAAATTATTAATAGAGGTTCGGTCTAATGGAAGGAGTTAGTTTTTACAACAAAAAAAAAAAGATTTCGAATCTCCTTTGAAAAAATTCACATTTAGAGGTGAAATGTAATTCGAACACGATTGCTTTTTATAAAACGATACATGTATGCGTCAATTCTCTAGATTGGATATCTATTGGTTTTCCCACTTGCCAATAACATATAGGATGGAAGGTAATTTCCATCCTTGCTAACTTAAAAGTTGTTTCGATGCAAAAATAGCCACACACAAAAAATCAAGCTTCTGTTGAGCAGATACTAGCTTTTACCCTTCATGGTCTTTGCTGCTGGATGTTGACCGTACCATCTTTTTAGTCCTTAATTTGTTGGAAGTTTTAATTTGAGGAATGGTTTGGGTTGTTGTAAATTATACTATAAAATATGTCTTATATATAGGATAAAAGGAATACTATGTAATGTCAAGTTAACTTTTTTTTATAAGTGGGTGTCTAGTGTGTTTTAAGTATGTTCACTTTAAATTTTTTTTTTTTCAATATACAAGGTTTGATGTTTATAAGTAATTTCTTTTTTATTTGTGGTGCTTCTATAATCCTTAATTAATGAAACAGCTTAAAAAAATAGACAGGTCTAAAACTCTAAAAAAAATTTATACAATAAAAGTTTGGTGAGTTGGGTTCCGGGATATCATCAGAATCATAATATATTTCCAGACTCAGGAAGTACTTACAACTATAGAGGTATTTGTAGATTGTTTACTAGTAAAATCCTCACAATTTCTTAATTGGGCTTGGACCTGGCATACTTTAGCTTGTTGCTATGAATCTTTGGGCCCATTAGTCCATCAAGCAATTGGGCCTAAGTGACCCTCCGAGCAAACGTAACTGAGTTCCTCGTCAAGCTTGCAACGCCGTCCTCTTCCACCGTCACCACCACCGTCGTCCATCCTCCTTGTCGCAGCTCTGTCATTTGGTGCTAAGTTCGTTCGCTGCGCAGAATGATAGGCCGCAGATCCTCACCGTCATCATCTGGTCTCTCCATTTCTTAAAAGCCCCCTCTTAGATTTCTGCTTTTGACATGAGACCTTTGCAATTTGGGATTTTGGTGAAATCAAAGTGGATATGAGTTTTTGCTGTAAGTTGCGATTAGTTTCAAGCTTCGATTTTTGTTTAAGTTTTTGCTGTAATTATCATAAATTCAATTGTTGTGTCGAAGAGGACAGATCCACTAATAAGGGATTTAAAACTTGAAATCTTTTCTTTCAAAAAAAAAATTGAAATCTTCTATGATAATATATTAGAAATTTAATTAAGATTTAAGCCAAAGGTGATTAATATAGGGTTCAGTTTTGTCAATAGAATATTCATATCATTAATTCTTTTTGCCAACGAATATTCATATCATTAACAATCAATAAATCAAAATCGCCAATATTTATGAATAAGTATTAAGAAAAACTTGTCATTTCAATAACTTTCATAGAGTGTTTGGCAATATGATGAAACCATGGTTTTGAGACCAAATCATAGTTTGGGTATCAAATTTGCCAAACAGAGAGAAAAATTAACAAACCGTGGTTTCAGGTCAAAACCATGGTTTCAAAAAAAGTGAATTCATTTTGCTTCTAGTTTAAATTAGAAAGTATGATTGTACCTGTTAGAGTAGATCTCAACGATAATATGAGTTTAACACCACTCAATTATTTTTTTATAAACATATTTAATCTTATGTTTTATAAACATATACACATGTTAATTAATTATTAATTATATTATCTTATGTATTATTAATTATGTTGGTAAAAAAATATATTATTAACAACTTTATTCCTTCAAATTAAAATATATCATAAAATTTATCTTTTATGTAACTATCATATTAACTTATACCCTTTTTAGTAATTTGTATATATAAAAAGTGCTTCTGATAACAATTATTCAAACACTCTCACTTCTCAGAATCACTTTTTCACAAAATCTATTCTTCTAAAAATCTATTCTCCAAACTATGGTTTGGTTTTATTCAAACACCCCCTTAGTCTCCTACTTATCAATTTATTAAGAAAAACTCCTTAATAAAAATAATAGAGATTGAACCTTGCTAACTTCTTTCCATCAAGTGGAAATCCTAATTCAATTTGCCATTTTATTCACGTCGCAACCATATTCACTATATTCATATTCAATTTATAATGAATATAAAAAATTTGATCTGAAAACGCCACATAAATATTTAAAACAATGAAGGTCTTGAATCTAAAATACATAAAAATAATTTTATAGGGAAACTGAAATTTTTTTGTTACTTAATTTGTCAATTTCCCTCAAGATTGTACATGGGCAAAGGGATGAAGTTAAACCCTTAGTGATATAAAATGAAGGATGAGTTTGTAGGATTGGATTCTTGATTCCAATCACACATTCTTTATTTTAAGCAGCGAATGGAAATCCAGAAATCCAATAACATGATCAAATCGTCCACATTTTAAATACATTGATGAACAAGTAAAATAATAAAGAAGAAACTTAATTTCTAAAATAAAATTCAAAGCATGCAAAAATTTTCCCATTGTATAATATAATATTGTTTGTCTTTTTTCTTCTTCTAGACACAAGACAATCTAATTAGAGACACTATCGCGCACTAAATATAAACACATTTTTTAGTGTGGGTTTTTATTTTCTTTGTTTTTCGTTTAGTATTTTCTATTCTTGAGCTTTGCATAAAAGAAATAATATTTAATTAGGTACAAAAGAGAAGAAATAAAAAAAAGAAGAAATAAAAATTAAGATATAATATAATTATTTAATAGTTAATTTCTCGTATCAAAACCGTCATTGTTATTCAAATTCAAATATAATTCTTACGGTAAAAGGTTATTATAATAAAAATAGAGAATTACAATTATGGTCTAAGGATTTAATTACTATAAAATTTATAGACAAATAAAAAGTAAATAATAACAAGTTTTAAAATAGAGAATAACAAAATATTTAAACTGACATTTGGGTGAAGCTTTTTAATAATTAATTTTTATTTTTTGAAATCCCTTATTCTCCCTCTAGTAAATATGTTTGGTTGAAAACGTCACAAACTCATCCACTCTCGTGCGACTCGGCCGTAGCAGGCCCAAGTCAACATCGCAAGGTTTGATCTCCTCTTGCTTGTCCGTTGGCACCGTGTGCGCATCTGGTTTGATCTTTATGAATCGATCGATGCTGGACCGCCGGAAAAGTAGAAGTTTTTTTATCTCCAAGGACGGCAGAATTGGCTGATTTTGAAGGAGGCGAAGACGGATATGCAGTGGTTTCCGACGTGCGCGCATAGACGTAAGGTTGAACTGGAAATTTAAAAATGTAGTTATGCTGAGAAAGTAGAATTTTCCTCTAACTTCTATGCAGGAGAGATCTACACACACAGGTTTTGTAACCGACTTGATGGCTTCGACGCAATCCAGGTCGGAGTTGGACATGATTTCGAATCACACTAATCAATCCAATTCTTCGGCTTACTCCACAATCAAGCTTGAATGTGAACAAGCCCTCAATTCGCTCAAGCGAGGTAACCAGAACAAGGCACTGAAGCATATGAAGGAGTTATGCTCCAAATACGAGAGCTCCGCTTACTCGGCCTTC